TGACTCAAAACACACCATCCGAGTCACCGTTGAATCAAAACAAACCTGGAGAGGATGTCGGAGTGCCCCAGGGAGACATCATCCTTGCCCTCCGCCTCCGCCTCTGCGCCCCCCTTCCTCAGCCTGTCCAGCTGCTCCTTGCGCGTCTCTATCACCTTGTGGGCAAACTCGTCGATTTCCTGAGAAGCAGATATGGACGACGACAAGGGGGCGTTTGGCGGAGAAGGTGAGAGGTGGGGTAGGAGAGAGAAAGAGTAGCTTTGGGTGGAGGTATAGAGAAATGAGATCAAGGGGAAAGGGGTGATGGACAGCTGCTGGTTCCTTCTTCCGGGGCCTAAGGAAACCAGAACTGGGAGAACCGGATCGGGTCCTTCTTCCTGCTGGGAGAACCACAACACATGTATGCATGATGTTATCGTATCGGAGCGGCCCTGTACCTGCACGGACGCTTTGAGGATCTTCTCGTGCACGAGCCCCATGACATGACGTTTCAAGATGTCTCCTAACTCAGTTCTGCACGTCTCATGTCTCACGTCTTGCGCTCGTGAGCACTCACCTGCACGGACGCTTTGAGGATCTTCTCATGCGCGATGCCCCACGACATGAAGAGGCTGCGAATGGAGTCTGGGAGAATGTTGCGGATCTGCGTGGCCTGTGATGCGGGGAAAGCAGCAAGAGAGCAGCACAGCCAGGAAAAATTCAGGAGACAGGTGACAGCCTGCGGCAGAGTATGAAAACCTAACTGGTGACCGGAAGTGCACGAGAACTACCAACGTGAAACAAATGCTGCTTACATCAGGAGAAAAACATTTGGTTGGGATGTAACTCGTGGGATGTCACTGAATGGTTTAAAATTTGCAAGGTGAAACGGAACACTTCAAAAAAAAAACATTGGAAACCGCAGATGCACCTTGGTGGCGTCGTCAAAGGCCTGGGCGAGGGGATATCGGGGAGGCCTGCTGCCAGAATTTTTTAAAACATGATTTTGAGAGGTGAAATGGACGCACACACCTTGGTGGCGTCGTCAAAGGCCCGGGCAAAGGGGATGTCAGGAAGGCCAGCTGCAAGGCAGCCAGGGTCCACTCCGAAGCCGATGCGACAAATGTTGTCAAATGTGTAGCGCAGGAGAATGTCCTGAATGTCGATTGATGCTCCAGACTCCAAGGCCTGGCGTGCAGGAGATTGGGGAGGGGTGAGGAGGAAAAGGTGAGTGACTGAAGGAAGAGTGAAGCTGCTATGTTGTAGATGTTGTCAAATGTGTATCGCAGCAGAATGTCCTGAATGTCAATAGATGAGCCTGATTCCAAGGCCTGGTGTGGAGAGAGTGGGGGAGGAGGGGAGGGGAGAGGAAGGAGGAAGGGGTTGTCAAAGGTGTAGCGCAGGAGAATGTCCTGAATGTCGATTGATGAGCCTGATTCCAAGGCCTGATTTGCAGGGTGGGCAACAGGCGCAGGTGCACCGCGTCTTTAATGGACAGCATCATGAGGTCGCAGAGAGAAGACAGATGAGATGAGACGCGCACACACACCACTGGTGAGCAGCACTGTGCCTTACCCTGTTCAGGTCAAGGCTCACCGTCTGCAGGGTGGGCAGCAGCCTCAGCTGCACCTCGTCTTGAATGGACGCCATCATGAGGTTGCGAAGGGATAGTCACTCCGTGCATAAACGGCACAGCACAGTACCCTGTACACTCACCGTCTGCAGGGTAGGCAGCAGCCTCAGCTGCACCTCGTCTTGAATGGACACCATCATGAGGTTGCGAAGGGATAGTCACTCCGTGCATAAACGGCACAGCACAGTACCCTGTACACTCACCGTCTGCAGGGTAGGCAGCAGCCTCAGCTGCACCTCGTCTTGAATGGACACCATCATGAGGTTGCGAAGGGATAGTCACTCCGTGCATAAACGGCACAGCACAGTACCCTGTACACTCACCGTCTGCAGGGTAGGCAGCAGCCTCAGCTGCACCTCATCTTGAATTGAGACCATCATGAGGTCGCGGAGAGATCTGGCGGAGAACTCCAGGCTGGCCGTCTTCCGCTGCTGCTTCCACGCCTCGCCATCGCTGTTGAATATGCCGTGGCCCAGTAGGTCGCCGAATGAAGACTGCGGGAGCGAAGGAGAGAGAGAGAGAGAGGAAATAGTTCTTGTGCGAAAGATTTGGAACTCAGGACTGGCCTTCTTCCGCTGCTGCTTCCACACCTCTTTGCCGCTGTGGAGTATGGGGTAGTTGCTGAACTTGTTTTTGGGAATATGCTCCAGTACCTCAGGATTCGCCGATTTGTTTCATTCTAATCACTCTCCGGATTTGAAAGAACAGGCTAGGTAGCTCCAACTGCCACGTGGCACTGACCTGGAAGTCGGGTCTTTTGGGGTAGTTGCTGAACTTGTTCTTGAGAATGTGCTCCAGCACCTCGGATTTTCTGAATTTTCCCTATACAATTTGTTTTTTCTACGCCACGTGGCACTGACCTGGAAGTCGGGTCCCTTGGGGTAGTTGTTGAACTTGTTCTTGAGAATGTGCTCCAGCACATCGGGATTCGCCGTGATCACCTCATTCATGCCGGGACCCAGAGAGACGTACGTCATTGATGGACATTCCTGCACCAGGGACGGAGGAAGACATGAAGCATGTCACATTAGCAGTCTCAAGAGAAAATGTTGAACTCATACATAAGAGGCAATTTCACGGTACCCGGTTCATGCATCTATGATTGCGAGAGAATGAAATGGCGAGAAAGTACTCGCAAGAAGGTAGAAGGCAGCATGAGCATGAGTGGGATGTAGGCTGGAATCTGGTTGGCAAAAACGGATTTCACCAAAGCCTAAGGCGTTCTTTAAGCACTTAAATGTTGCTTACCTCGAGCAGTGACGTGGACCAATCCAGGAGATACGGAAAGTTGGAGAAGAGCGCCGGGATCGCCCCAAGCACAGGCCAGTGAGGAGGCCCGAACTTGCTGTTCCCTCTCAGGAAGTACTTATACCGCCATGTGAGGTACGCTAAAGCGAGTATGAAGCCTGCCAGGACGAGCTGCCAGAGGAGAGGCATGTCGACTTCACGCGAGGCGATGGCCTCTCCGGAAGACCAGCCAGACCAGTTTATACCTGCAAACTGATTCTGTTGAGACCTCTGATCTGGACCCTGATTCTTTCTTGATGCGTCTGGCAATAAGGCAGGGTACTTTCTCTCTCAGCCAGCTCCGATTCAATCGACCTAATAACAACAGAAAGCCTTTCTAGAAACGGCTTGCAAATGTCCAGGTGCAGCTGAAGGTCGTTCAGCTGGATGCTTGAGGGGAACGTAGCCATTTGCGCGGTTTGTGACGCCGACAAGCAATCCGGTTCGAAAGGCGGCGCGTGATTCATGCGTGCAGTCACACGATGGATGGAGACGGGTTCTATAGTGTACGTCAGTGTCGGCATCAGGATATGCATGATGGTAACTACGCCGTGACGTCCCGGGCCGTTAGGAAGCGGTACAGTGCGGTGGCTTACGTCACATCCTGGAACGTCACAGCGTGATTTACTTCTCAAACCCCTTGAATGCGACACAGCCGAGCGGGTGAACCTCGGACAAGCCGTACGAACATCGGGCTTTGTCGCTACAATCAGTGGCGCCTACTTTCCGCCTGAATCTCCTCGAGAAGATCGACCTTGTCGCCAGGGTGAGCAACTTGAGAACAAGCACACGGCGCTGGCCGACAACCTGTCGAATCCAACTCGTTGAAGAACGAAGTCTGTTCAGGATGAAGGTGTCGCTCGTCGCTCATGCGCGTTAGTCTGTCCCAACAAAGGCCGCTTTCCCGCCTGTCGCCGTCAGGTAAGCTGAATCTGACACGAGCTCGACATCATCTTCTTGAAGTTGACGGGCTGACGACGGGCGATGGGCTATGGGCAAAATTCCCGTCGCTGGGGTGGAGAAGGATCAAGAGTGGTTGAAATATAGTGACCGTATACTCGTTATCGCATTTCTTATGCAATCGCAAGATGCTTTCAATGATTGCCAAAAGCGATATTGTATCATTTTCACAGGAAAATGGTTGATTGGGCAAGGGCCTTGCTGCCCAAATTTGGCGAGGGTGCGACGACTGGAGCCAGCGAAGTGTGTCGATTTCTGACATCGCCAGGTGATCGCAACCGATCATTGATCTCGTGGCAGTCGTTTGGTTTCGTCTGGTTTCGGTTCAGTTGAGTTTGGTTTGGGTTCCGGCACCCACCAATCAGGGCGTGTCCCATTGGCCTTCTCCAGTAATAGAACATTCGTTTGTATGTTGTCTCTACATATACTCTCCTCGCACCTCACAATATCCATCATAGCAGAAGTCAACGGTAATATTTTCCTGTCCACCTTCAATCACCCTACTAGCGTATGTGGCCTTCCTAGAACCTGATTCATCCTGAGCTACTCTCGTGTCCTCTCTGGACCCGAAGAACTCTTGCGGATTGTGTTCGGCCTCTGATCGCGGAGCTCGCTGTCACGCGTCTCCCGGATTTCATATTCTTTTCGAAAGTACACGCGTTTTTTAGCTGCTTTACGAGGTTACAGACGCTAGCGCGTGAATTTTGAGCTAACCCAGTGACTGGTCAGCTCGCCATGGCGAAAAGAGGTGATCGCGCCGGCAACAGCAGGCTGTTATCTCTCCCCGACGAGCTCCTCCAAATCATTCTCGGCCTCGCAGATCACCCATCCGATCGCCGCAACGTTGCTCTCTCCTGCTCCCGCCTCCGCCGCCTCTCTCGTCGCACGCCACACGCGCTCCGCTTCGACTTCTACTATTGACGAACGGTTACGAATCTGCGACAATGGCTAAAAGCGCTTGACGATTATACAAGGGTATTTACCCACATAACGGATCTGACCGTGGAGATTCCTTCTGGTTTCGGGAATCAGCTGATACTGGGCATCGCAGCGGGCTGCCCGAAACTGGAAAAACTGAAATGGGTGACGGGCTGGGATAGCTTCAACGTCAACGGTCGAGCGTGGCGAAATCTCGCAAGCAATGCCCGTGAGTGGACGTTTCCGTTGATATTCCATATAATTACAGACATACAGGTCAGATATAATTACGTTTTCGTTTCTCTCTTCCTCCTCGATTTTTTTTTCGCCCAATTCATCCACCCATGCATGCATCCTGGCATGCGTGGATGCATGCATCCATGCATCCATCCTCTTCAATTCTCCTCTTCTTCACCCCTCCTTCTTCAACCCTGCGTATGCACACCTCCCTCCCTCTTCACCCCTCGACCCTCGCCCCTTCCCCCGTGGTTCAGGCTCTTGATCTTCCTCGGGCTGAACGCATGCCATCGCCCTTTTCCCCTTCCCTCAGGCTCCTGACCTCTCTGGAGCTCAACTCACGCTATGCGCGCTCGCGTCTCTCCTACACACGGCAGCCACCGCTCCCTCCCGTGCACCTCCTCCCCTCACTGCAGTCCCTCTCCCTCCTCTACGTTCCCTCCGACTACCTCCCCGTTCCCCGCTGCTCCTCCCTCACCTCTCTCACTCTTTGGGCACCAGAATCCTCCGCTCTCTCCTCCCTCGCCTTCTCCTCCTCTTCCCCCTCCTCCTCCTCCGTTGCGTCCTCCCCCTCATCCTCTCTCCGTACGTCCCTCACATCTCTCACAATCTAATCTGCCGAACTGCAGGGCTCCCTCGCATCCCTCTCCTTCTTCCCCTCCCACTCCTCCCTCTCCCTCCACTCCTGCACCATCGACCCATACGAGCTCCGCTCTCTCTCACGCTCCCTCCACTCTCTCACCCACCTTACCATCCACTCATGCCCACTCGTCTCCTCCCACTCCCTGGTCCCCATCCTCCAATCCAACCCAGCTCTCTCCTCCCTCTCCCTCCACGGAACAAATTACTGCCTGTTTGCCGCACAGCGCTTCCGTTCTCTCCTCTCGCACTCCTCCTCCCAGCTCCACTCCCTCCACCTCTCTGGCCTCCCATCCTTCCACCCAGGCTTGCTTGCAGCCTGCAGCGCCCTGCGGTCGCTCAGTCTGGAAGGGGTGGGTATTTCTTCGGACTCCCGGTTGCCGCGCACTGTAACATTGGACGGCCTTGTGGGTATGCTTGTGCGCGTGGAACGGAGAGGAGGGGCAGGAGGAAAGGCAAGAGGTGGCGCAGGAGCGGAGGCAGGAGGGAAGGCAGGAGGGAGGGCAGGAGGGAAGGCAAAAGAGGATGGTGGGGCAGACGTATCAGAGAGAGCTGAGCCTGGTGCTCCTGCAGTAGCTGCAGAAGCACAGGTATCCTCAAGAGGGGGCGACAAGCAGTGGGGGAGGTACGTGGATATTCGCAGAGAGGCAGCGGCAGCGCAGGAAGATAAGCTTGTAGCGGCGAAGAACATTATCCCCCTCATGCGCGCAGCCCATCAAGCTACCAGAACCGCCCATTCCGATGCACTTTCAGCAGCGCGTGTGGAGGGTGTAAACGCCGTGCCTCGCATCGTTGCCAGCTTCGGGAAGATCAGGTTCGGGGTTTCGGCGTGCCGGACCTTCTGCGCTGGGGTACGTGAGGCCAATGCGGCGATCAAGTGGGAGGAGGCGCTGATGCGGGCGTTTGCTGTTGCTGGTGCTTCTGGTGGTGGTGGTGGTGGTGCTGCTGCTGCTGCTGCTTTTGCTGCTCGTCGTCATGCTGCAGGCTTCTTTACTACGGAGCTGAATCTTGAAGAAGAGGAGGACGGGGATGGGGAGGAGACAGAAGCAGGAGATGGAAGCAGGGGCATGGATGACATGTTGAGTCATGATGGCCTGTCTGAGGGTGTGCTGGGTGGGGTGTGGTCTGGTGCGGTGGAGACACGTGCAGAGGGGGTGGAGAGGCTGCATGCGTTGATTGACGAGCTGGGGGAGCACACTAATGCCATGTCTGCTAGCTTCAATTCCATGCGTCCACTCACCCCCACCCTGCCTTGGCCATTGATTGATGCGGCATCAGCAGGAGGTGGGGCAGCAGGAGGTGGGGCAGCAATACCAGGAGGAGGAGAAGGGGGAGCAACAGCGCATGGGGTGGCAGCAGTGCGTGAGGGAAGAGCAGCAGTGCATGGAGCGAGAGGAGGGGCAGCAGAAGCATCGCCGCGAGTGGAAAGCACACCAGAAGACAGTGGGCTGGGAGAGGCGGCTGCAGGAGAAGCAGCAGCAGGGGAAGCAGCAGCAGGGAATGCGGCAGCAGGGGAGACAGCACCAGGGGATGCAAAACCAAGCAGTGGAAAGTCAAGCTTCAGGCATTCTGAAGGGAGCAAAGCAGCAGCAGCAGTCCCCGTGCAAGTGTACTGCCCTCCTCTGGAGTCTCTGACCCTCCGATCCCTCCGCTTCGCCTCCCCGCCCCATGTCCCCTGGCTGCCTCCCTCCCTTTCTTCCGAGTCTCCCCGCATGTACCTCTCCTCCTCCCCCGCCTCACCACCGTCCTCTTCATGTCACTCATCCTCCTCCTCTTCCCGCTCCTCCTCTGCCCCGTGCCCAAGCGGTCACCCAATGTCCTTTGAGTCTCTTGCCCGAGCTGCAGCCTTCAGGCACCTCAAGCACCTCGCCTTGGAGTGCTGCGTAGGGTTGAAGGAGCAGGAGTGGCTGGTACTCTTCGCAGCATGCTCCAAGTTGGAGGAGCTAAGGGTGTTAGAAAGTAGCGAAATTTCAGACGCAGTGGTCGCGGGAAGCAGACTGGGAACGCTCGCTAGTTTGACTCTGGTGATGTGTGATAAAATTACAGCAACTGGCATTGGAGGGGTTCTTGGAAGCTTCCCTAGGTTGCGGTACTTGAAGGTGGAAGTGGAGAAGATCTCAGAAAGGGCTCGGAGGGAGCTGCTTCGTGCTGGAGTGGTTGTGAGGGGGGTGTGACATTGGTGACAGATACGGTAGGTGCATACATACCGATGTCAAGGCTGCTCTTTGGCACAAAACCGCCATTCACTTTTATCCTGTAAATAAATGTAAATAAGCCCCTGGCACGTTTGTGCGTTACGGGACGCTTCGTTGCGGCCTTCGTGTAGGCCCTTTATCCCAGCCCTTCAAAGAGAGCCTTTTAGATACCATTTAGTGGTATATTCAGTCGAAGAACTTGGTGATTCCTGGGCTTGGGCTCTTGAACAAAACTCGATGAAAAACGACACCCTTCGGGCGTACGCGTTAGGGGATTTTTCTGGGAAACCCTGCCCCCTATCCAGCAGCTCTCCCCCCCCCACCCCCCCTTTCCCCTGCATCCAGTTTTCAGTCATCTCCCGTAGTAAGCCAAAACGCGAACCTCGGAACTGTCTACTCTCGAGAACTTCGTCCCAGAGCCCAAAGCGGAGAGCCTCGAGAGCTCCCCTCCCCTCTCCACACATGCAGCCACTAACGTTGTCCGTGTGCGAGTGGAGGGGGAGTGCGAGTTCGTCAGGCAGGGCCATTCCACCGCACGGGAGCCGATGGTCCACGTGGAGTCAGTGATCTGTTGGTCCGCTCTGCTTTCAAAGGTCATGGCTGCCGTGCAGATTCGCTTGCGCTCGTTCAGGAGGCCCAGATCGGTTGGGTACGGTTTCTATTTCCTGCTCCCAGCGACGGAGAGTGAATCAACATCATCATGTCCTACCAGCCAGTGCAACTCCGAACACTTCGAGTCCAGACGACGATTCCTGCTGAGCTTGGGAAATCGTCCTCCTTAGAAGGTCAGTTCTTGACAGAAATTGTCGTCGTTCGATCCATCCCTTGTCTCAGTCGTAATCTTCACCCAGCTCCTCGCCTGTGCTCGAGCTAGCACGGGTACGTGACCGCGCTTTTCTTTTGAAACGCGTTCAACGCTTGGAGAAGCCTGTCCCGTTAGCGGCTTCGTAGCGGTCATTCCGGAACGGCATTGCAGCTTCAGCCGCATATTCGCTAACCCATTGTTTGTGCCTCGATTTCGGACGGGGCCAGGCCCAGGACGGACGGCTTCGCGCAAGGCTCGGACTGCCCGATCTGCTGGGTATGAACACCTATTTTTTAACAAACGTCTGATCTCAGCAAAATCTGGTCAGGCGTCTTCCCGTCGATTTTTCATTCTAGCCGATCCTTTGCGTCGGCTTCCTCTTGCTTCTGCTCCTCATTCTGGCTCTTTTCTCACTCGTTGTCTTATCCAGCTGTGTCTTCTGGAGGCTTCCAGACTCGCTATTTCGCAGTCAGCTCGAGATGGCGGAAGACAGAGAAGGCGCCGACAATAGCAGGCTGTTATCTCTTCCCGACGATCTCCTCAAGATCATTCTCGGCCTCGCGGATCACCCATCCGATCGCTGCAGCGTCGCGCTCTCCTGCGCCCGCCTCCGCCGCCTATCGCGGCGTACGCCGCATGCGCTCCGACTCGAGGTCGACTCCAGATCAAGGGCTGCGAATCCGGGAGAATGGTTGAAAAGGTTTGAAGATTATTCAGGGGTATTTACCCACGTGACGGATCTGACCGTGGAGGTCACCAGTGTTCTCGGGGACCAGCTGATTGCGGGGATCGCAACGGGCTGCCCGAAACTGGAAAAACTGAAGCTGGAGGTGTCGGCTTGGGATAGCTTCAACGTCAACGGTCCAGCGTGGGAGAATCTCGCGAAGCAATGCCCGTGAGTTAAGGGTTTCCTGCATCTTCTCTCTCGCAAATCCTTTTGCCCAATCCATGCATCGTCACCATCCGTTCCTCCGTCCGTCACTCCGTCTGTCCGTCCATCAGTCCGTCCGTCCGTCCCTTCCTCCCTCCGTCTCTCCCTCCGTCCGTCCCTCTTTCCCTCCCTCCCTCCGTCCGTCACTCCGTCCATCCGTCCGTCCGTCCCTCAGTTCACTAATAACAATCTGCTCGACGAGCCTTTGCACTTCGTGAACGGAGCACCGACTGCGAAGTTATGCGCGTTCTTGTGTCCTTGTCCCCCCCATATCCACCCACCCACCCTCCTCTTCCCCTCTCCCCCCCTCTCCCCCCTCTCCCCGCACCCTCCTTCACCTTACGCCCCCTTCCCCCTCCGCACCCTCTTCCGCCCCTCCCATCCGTTTCTATCTTGCATGTTTTGGCGGTCTCTCCTCACAGACCTCAACCACATACCTTTTGCAGCCACCTTTCCTCCCTCTTCACCCCTTTCGCTTAGCCCCGCTCCCCTCCCCACTCGCCTCTTCCCTCATACAGGCTAGTCTCGTTGATGTAGCTGGTCTTGCGCTACGGGCGTTCGTCCTTTACCTGCAGTAGCTCTCTCTCCCTCCCTGCACTACCTCATCTCGCTGCAATCTCTCTCCCCTCTTCCTCCCTCCCCTCCCTTCCCTCTGCATGCAGGCTCTTGGCTTCATTGGAGCTAAAATTCCTTTCTGCGCACTCGAGTCTCTCCCACACACAGCAGCCGCCACCCCCCCCCGTGCACCTATTCCCCTCACTGCAGTCCCTCTCTCTCCTCTACGTTCCCTCGGACTTACTCCCCATTACCCGCTGCTCCTCCCTCAGCTCCCTCACCCTCGAGAGTCCTGAATTCTCCACTCTCTTCTCCCTTGCCTTCTCCTCCTCCTCATCCTCCTCCCACCTTGCATCGTCCCCCCCATCCCCTCTCCGGACATCTCTAACATTCCTCACGATCCATTCCGCCAAACTGCAGGGCTCCCTCGCATCCCTCGCCTTCTTCCCCTCCCTCGCCTCCCTCTCCCTCCACACCTGCACCATCGACCCTTATGAACTTTCCTTCCTCTCACGCTCCCTCCACAAGCTCACCCACATCACAATCCACTCCTGCCCGCTCGTCTCCTCCCGCTCCCTCATCCCCATCCTCCAAGCCAACCCCGCTCTCTCCTCCCTCTCCCTCCACGGGACAACCTACCGTCTCTTCGGAGCACAGGGCTTCCGCTCTCTCCTCTCGCACTCCTCCTCCCAGCTCCGCTCCCTCCACCTTGCTGGCCTCCCATCCTTCCGTCCGGGCTTGCTTGCAGCCTGCAATGCATTGCGGTCGCTCAGCCTGGAAGATATTGCTGAATCCTCTGACTCCATTGTGCCGCGCTCTGTATCATTGGACGGCATTGCGGCAATGCTCGTGCGGGTGGAGCAAATAGGAGGAGGGGCAGGAGGGGAAGCAGGAGGGGAGGCAGGAGGGGACGGAGGAGTGGAAGAGTGGGAGAGAGGACGAACTAGAGCTTCTGCAGCAGCTGCTGAGGCGCTGGTATCACCGAGGGGAAGCAAAAAGCACTTGGGAAAGTACTTGGACGTTCGCACAGAGGCAGAGGCAGCACGGGCTGACAAGTCCGCAGCAATGAGAGAGGTAGCTGATTTTTTCAGCATTGCTAAGCAAGCCTGTAATGCCGCTTTTTCCGAGGCTGCTGAGTTGGCGCGAGCAGAGGGCGACAGTGCTGTGGCTCGGATTGCCGCCCGCCTCGTGAATATGAGGTTTGGGATCTCAGTGTGCCAATCCTTCTCTGCGGCGATCCGCGAGTGCAGAGCAGCCGTGGAGTGGGAGGAAAAGCTGATGCGCTCATTTGACGCTGCTGGCCGGGCGGCAGGGTTCTTTGCCCCGGAGATGGATGTTGGAGAAGAGGAGGGGGATGGGGATGGGGACGAGGAAGAAGGAGATGAATCTATGGATGTCATGTTGCATGATGAAGCCTTGCTCGAGAGTGAGTTGGGTGGAGTGCGGATTGGTGCAGTGGAGGCACGTTCAGAGGCCCTGAACAGGCTGAAGTCATCAATAGGGAAGTTCAAGGAAGCCTCGCTTGCCATGTGTGCCGACATACAGGGCATTCGCCATCTCATTTTTTATACCAGCTCTGCTCCTGTAGCATTGGGGGCCGATTCGTCAGCAGCAGCAGCAACAACAGATGGAAGATCAGGAGGGGCGGCAGAAGCATCGCAGAGGGCGGAAAGTACACTAGAAGATGGAGGGCCATCGGGGGCGGCAGTAGGGGAGGCGGCAGCAGGGGAGGCGGCAGTAGGGGAGGCGGCAGCTGGGGAAGTGGCACTGGGGGGTGGGAAACCAAGCCGCAGCAAGTCAGGAGGCAAGCATATTAAGGGATGCCAGTCAGCAATCCACGTGCAAGTGTTGTGCCCTCCACTGGAATGCTTGATCTTGCGATCGCTCGTCTTATCCTCGACTTTTCGTGTTCCTTGGCTGCCTAGTACCATCCCCCGCACATCTCCTTGCATGTACCTCGTCCCACCCCCTCCATCATCCCCTTCCTATTCTTGCCACTCTTCCTCCTCCTGCTCTTCCTTCTCTTCCTCCTCTGCCTCAACCTCAAACACTCAGCCAATGTCCTTTCATTCCATTGCTAGAGTGGCGGTTTTTGGACAGCTCAAGCGCCTTGCACTGTTAAACTGCTTAGGGTTGGGGGAGGAGCAGTGGATTGAACTGCTTGCCGTTTGTGGTAAGTTGAAGGAGCTTAGGGTGGAACAAAGTGACACATTTTCAGATGCAGTGGTGGCGGGAAGCAGACTGGGAACACTCGCTAGTTTGACAGTGGTCATGTGTGAAGATTACAGCAGCAGGCATTGGAGGGGTTCTTGGAAGCTTCCCTAAATTGCGGTACTTGAAGGTGGAATCGGGGAAGGTATCAGAAAGGGCTCGGAGCGAGTTGCTTCGTGCTGGTGTGGTGGTGAGGGGAGTGTGACATACGTGACACATGGTAGGCGCTCTCTGTCAAGGCTGCTTTTGGGCACAAGAATTTCATGCATTTTGTACATTGTAAATATATGTATATAATGTTTTGTACAAGGTGAAATCATGGTCAGAGTCGAAGGTGTAGACCAATTTCCAAAGCTCTCGAGTAGCAAGTGCTCTTCCTTCACCCTAACCACGAGTTTTAGCGTCAATTGACCGCTTCTAAACGCTCTAGAGCGCACAAGAACTCACTGCGCGCAATCTAACCATGTTCTGGGGTACGCCAATCAAGCGTCTCGGGAAGTGAGAACCAAGTTCTTGGGACCGTTGGACAGCACCCCCTCTCTGTTCACGCATCAACCCCCACCACCCAGCCAAACCGATTACGATAAGCTTTCGCTGATCCTCTTGCGTGTTGGGCGAGTATGCAGGGAGGGACTAGGGAGTGTGAGCGAGTACGGTAGAAAGCAGGGAGGGAGTGGGGTGTGTGTGAGTCACGCTACCCAGGAGGGTGAGTCCTATTCCAGGATCCCAAGATTGATCCAAGGGTTCTGGTGACGTCTTGGCGCAACCCCAGAGAATTATAGATAACACAACCGGAATTTCCTAGTAGCAGACAGGCCAGCCAGTCGGACGGGGAAAAAATACAGACAGGAAGAGTCTTGTCAATTTGAGAATCCGTTGTTCCTCCCTCTTGTTAATTCCAAGGACGATGTCGCTTGGAGGAGGTTTCATCTTTTGATATTCACCCTCCTTACGAGACGCTACCCCTATTAGACTCGAGATTTTTCGATTTGATTTGATTCGATAAGTCACGCCGCGGGGAGAAGGCGTTTCCGCTTGTAACGGCCTCGTAGCGGCCAATCACGGACTCATCCGTGTCGTGCCGCGCGATGGCGGTACCTCGAGTTTCCCCCGAGAGCAGGCCCAGGACGGACGGCTTCGCGCAAGGCTCGGACTGCCCGATCTGCTGGGTATGCCCTCCCGTTCTCCCACCACGCGTCTGTTTCTAGAAGGATCTGGCCTGGCCGTTTTCCTCTCTCCGCCCTGCTGATCTCACTGTTCTTGGCCAAACGGTTCAGCAACACATCGTGTTTCCGTACGATTTGGATTATTCTCCTTGATCTTCACCTGTCGTCAGCTTCCTTCTAACAGCCTTGAATCTGGCTTGAAAGGGTAGGTAACTTGTGTTTCACCCATACGTCCTACTAACGCCGCCAATTACGTAACTCTCTGCTGCCATTCCTCGTCCCACTTACAGGAGGCCTACGATTCCAGTATAAGAGCCCCGCACGTGCTGCTGTGCGGCCACACCTTCTGCAAGCACTGCGTGCTCATCCTCCCTATAGCCGTCTTCAATAAGCTGCCATCGCTGCAGATCCAGCTGCCATGGCTCGTAGACTGCCCGCTCTGCCACTGGGTGACTCCCAGACTGGTCGTTGAAGGAAATCTGCAGTACCCTTTCAAGAACTTCTCCCTGGTGAGTCTCCACTGAACTTTTCCCTGGTAGGACTTCTTTGAACTTTCCCTGGTAAGTTCCGCTGAGGATCCAGCTGCCATGGCTCGTGACTGCCCGCTCTGCCACTGGGTGACTCCCAGGCTCGTCGTTGAGGGGAGTCTGCAGTACCTCTTCAAGAACTTTTCCCTGCTAAAATTCTCACTCCAGTTTTACCGCACGTTTCAGATCCATCTGCTTTTTATTTCAGGTAAAAGCTGGTAAATTTTGCTTATATTCATTACCTTTCCTTCCTCTCTTTCTGGTTGCGGTTCCCCGCCCTGTACCTCCCGTTTCTTGCGTCCAGCTGTGGCTTCTAGAGGCTTCCAGGCTCGCTCTCCCTCGAGGCGTCAACTCACCCACCACCGCCATCGCTAGCATCAGCGCCAGCACAAGGCACTCCCCTGTGCGGTCTACCCTCACCCACCTCCCAGACGGCCTAGAATCCCCGGATCCCTCGCCTCACGACGAGCGCTGCAGCAGTGCCTCTGGTGCTCACATCGGCAGCAGCAGCCGCGGCGGTGCCGGCGGCAGCAGCAGGAGGAGAAGAAGCAGTGGGGATTACAGCAGCAGTGCCAACAACAACAGCAACAGCAGCAGCAGCAGCAGCAGCAACACGAATGCGTTTTTTGAAGCCCAAGCTCTGGGAGCCCAAGCTCTAGGCGCACAGGTACTGGGAGGGCAGGCGTTGGGGTCTCAATCCTCTGGGGGCCAGACCCTCTGGTGGGTGCTCCCCCGTGTGTTGTTAGAGCAATGGCGCCCAGGCGGATCACCCGCAGCCGCAGCTGGTGCTGCTGCCGCTGCCGCCGCTGCTGTGGCCGTGCAGGCGTTGCAGCAGCATCAGCAGGGGCACGAGCAAGGGGAGCAGGAGTGGGTGGAAGGGGGACATATCCCCCACCATTACCTGTATCGCTTGCAGCAGCAGCAGCAGCAGGAACAACAGCAGTGGCAGTGGCAGGGACAAGGGCAGGCGCAGGGGCAGAGGCCAGGAGCAGGGTTTCACCACCTGCTGTATTCCAGCCGGCACCAGCTGGCACTCTGGCTTCTGCAGCGGGCGATCCAATGGTTCCCGTTCATTCGCACGGGGATCAACGGTGCAGCTTTCTACTTGGGCCGGCTGCGCCAGCTGTGCACGCGGTTACCGTTTCTGGGGGTGCTGGCGGTGGTGAGCTTTGTGATTGTGCCCTGGTGCTCGCTCGCCCTGCTCTGCTACCTGGCGGTGTTTCTGTTTGTGGCCGTGCCTGCTGCCGTGTGCCTTGTGCTCTCCATCTACTGGTCGGAAACACTTTTGAGGAGACTGACAGGCATGCCGTGACAGTTGGGGGGGGGGATTGTGTACAGTGCAGTTGTTGAATACAGTAGCGTAGCGTAATCCATGTTGTGGAAACAGAATAATGGTGCATGGCCGCCGCTGATAGTGCTGTCAAATGCGTCCTGTATTTGCTTTGTTATCATGATGCTTACCAGTAAATGAAAGAGAAACAAAATAATTGGAAATAATAAACAGATAGTTCCAACACTACACCACACGGCAGGAGTGGATTGTTGGGAACAACCTAGTCATTTCTGTTTTGGGTACAGAATGTCATAGTGCCCTGGTCGATACAGCAGCGTCATTGCAGGGGTTGCCCGTACACTCTCCTCGGGTAGAAATTCGTGAAAATTTGCCTGCCCGGCGCTGCGGTCCAGGTAAACGATCCGGATGGGTACGGCGAGGGCATCTGTGATGGCTGTGATGTGCACGTGGTCGCTCTCCTCCCCCATTGGTTCCACTGCCTTGTGACAGAACTGGGGGAAGGAAAGATGAGACAGAGGGGTAATGGCAGGAAATGGGCATCATAAGTGCGATCATTTGTGATGTGCACATGATCGCGCTCCTCTCCCATTGGCTCCACTGCCTTGTGACAGAACTATTGGGGGGAAGAGTAGGGAGGAGAAGGCGGCACTGGGCATGGGGGACCACCTGTCACGGATTTTCACATAAATGGGAATATGGGACTGCGAGCATGATTGCTCCATTCCCATTTGGCTGGCAAAGTGTCATGGACCGGGGAAGAGGGAGAACAGGCAATGTGCAGAGCGGCTGTGAGAGAGCAGGGGATACTGCGGATGGAAAGGAGGAGAAGATGTGTCTGGAAGGACGGAGGACATCCTTACCTGTTTCGCTGCTTCTTTTGGACCGCCCACGCCCGCCAGAGCGTCCAGCAGGAAGGGATGGAAGAAGTCTGCTCGGTGCTGTCTGCCTTATGAGACGTATTAAAGACTGTTACCTGTTTGGCTGCCTCCTTTGGCGCGCTCATGCCGGCCACAGCATCAGGCAGGAAGGGATGGAAGAAGTCCGCCCGGTGCTGGATGTCAGCAGATGTGATGAAGCGCAGAAACATGACCACTGGTGGAAGGGGGAGGGGAGAGGGGAGCGGGGGGAAGGAGTGGGGAGTGGGAAAGAGCAGGACTGTGGGGAGAAGAACAGAAGACGTCTGCTTAGTGTTGGATGTTGGCAGAGGCAACAAACCGCGGAAGCATGGCCGCTGGAGTAGTAATGGAGAGGTCGCACCAATAGCTTTGCTGATTAAAATACGCAGTTAGGATAGAAGAGCAGTATTCGACCACTCACCATAGTTGGAGCAGTCTGGGTCTTGACAGCGCTTCAACAGGCCATCAACCCTGCCATTGACAAATAAATACAGCAAACATTTGTAAAAAAAAATCAGCAAACAAATCAGCAGCGGCAGCAGCAGCAGCGGCGGCGGCGGCGGCACTCACGTGATCTTCTCCGCTGCACTCGATGGGTCCACGGCATCTAGAAGCTCCCGATACTCCTGCTCTCATGCATGCATGCAAGCGAGACATGAATACATGATGAGGACACGGATACATGAAAAACCCGTTCAAACGACATTCTTGCAAATTCACAATAATACCCAGTTAATTGCAAGAAAAGTGAGTGACTAGCCATGAGCAACCGAGGAGACTGCAATGCAAGCAAGGTCAATTTGTCAAATGGCTGTACCCAAGGTAATTCATCCAAGTGCCTAAAGAACAACAACCACACACGAACAGCAACCGCGGCATGCCACCCACTCACAGCGGCAAAGTCTTCCCACGTGAACTCGGTATACCCAAGGTCTCTCAGCCTCTGCTCACTGCGCGCCACTCGCTCCCTCACTTGCTCGCACTCCTCCTTGCTGCCGCCTTGTAACAGATGCTCCTGTAACGAATGAGATTGCTGGTTGGACGATTGGGGTCTTATGAAGCGTGGCACCCAGTCTTATTTACGTTGCAGAAAGAAGTTGAACCAGGTGCACCATGGTGTGTAAGGAGTCGAGTTTTGAGTCGACTCAAAACTCGATTTTAGGAAGAAAGTTGAGCCAGGTGTACCATGGTTTCTAGATAATAAGTATATCTAGGTGGCATTTGAGTCGTCTCACAGGTGTGTGTGTATAAAGGGTCTGTTCTCACCAGGAGCGCGAAGAGGAAGCAGCGGAAGAAGCAGTTTCCATCCCCTCGTGTCCGCCTGATGGCCTCGTACTCGGATGCAAGGTGCTGGAAGGGTGGGGAGGGGGGAGGGGGGGTGAAGGGCGGTGAAAGGGAGTGAAGACGGGTGAAGTGGGATGAAGGGGGTTGATCAGAGCGGAGAGGGAAGGCAGGAAAGCCCTTTTCTGTATTTTACCCGGCTCCACTGTTCCTACCCCTCTAATCCCGCCTTCCCCCTCGTTTTCAACCCATCCCCGCGTCTCTTCATCACATCCCCTCACCCGTGTGCCTCATGCCCCGTTCCTCATTCCACGCACCTCGATCTTGTCTTGGAACGCGGTGCTTCCCGCTGCGTATTCCGACGCCAATGCCGACAACGGCTCCTGCGGGGGATCACACGGGTTGAAACAGTTACGGACGAAATCTGAACCGTAACTTCACCTCGACTCTTAAAGATAATCTGTGTTCGATAATCGAAGCATATGGGGGGAGGAATGATGAGAATACACGCTAAATAGCGGAAGATCTGGCTAAACTTCGACGGGATTTAGTTGCTTCTCTCCAAAATCGTTACCACCATGGATTATCTAGTTATCATTCACCCTTGTACAGTCACGCACCTTCTACAGTAACGAACCTTCTCCCCGACGAGCGGGTACCGCTGTGCTTCCTCTTCCCGCATCGCATTCTGCTGCGCTAAGATCGCCTCGTCCGACGGCCGCTCGTCGCCTTGCGACGGCGGATCGCCGCCTTGCGACGCCATGCGACAAAATCTGTGAGAAAGTTTTTGCCTGAAGTTCCTGCCACTATTTCCCTAGCCACTTGGAATTACAGATGTGACCGTTGGGCTGGGAACCCAGTGGGTATCGGACTCCCTACCGTGCAAGACGGCCAATCTGCGGAACGAATTCCTGGAATCTGACGACACTGCGGATGAGGCAATTTTTTCGACATTGGAGGTTCCGCCAACTGTTTCTGAATGTTTAGCCACAAAAAGCGAATTTTGTTAATCTTTGTGGGCATACTGTTCTACATAACGCTTCATTGACACAGTAGTTATAATGAGCGACAGTTTTTGAATCACTCAAAGTATCCACTTAAAAACAACAGTTCAGCACCAAATCGACAAAGCAGGACGGATTCAGAAATGAGACAATCTTTGCAGCGCCTAAGAAATCCGGTGGAACAGGGCCCAGTCGGGTCAACGCACTCAATACACCCGGAACCTCCTGCCGCGCCATATGCCAGCCCAACCATGCCTGGCCTGCCTTTTGAGCCGACTCAAAAGTCAACAAGGTCAACCCAGTCAGTATCCATACCCTCCTGTTGACCCATATGCCTCCCCAGCCCCAGCAGCACCCCCGGCAGAGCTGGGAGGGTAAAGAGACGAGCCGATACTTCTAGCACCTCGGAAAACTGATGGGACGGGGTCGGGTCGGGTCAGGTCAACTCAGTCAGTACCCATACCCTCCTGTTGACCCATATGCCCCCCCAGCCCCAGCACCACCCCCAGCAGAGCTGGGAGGATAGAGAGACGAGCCATAGCCTGACAGGTCCGTCGGTGCCGAGCCATATGCTGGAGCTGGTGCTGCAGCAGACCCGTATGCCGAAGCTGGCGGTGCAGGTGCGGGCGCAGGTTCGGCATAGCCTGTGTGTGAATTCATGAAACCCTGCAAGGAATGAGCCGGGCGTTGGGAGAAGAGGACAAGGCAAGGCAATCAGCAAGCCACCCACCCACGACGAACCATAGTCCCCTGTCATGTACATCTGACATCAGCTGGTGCGTGATTTGATTCGATCTGATCCGATTCCTCCCACTCACCTCGATGAGCTGCTGTGCCGTCTGCACCTGGGTGGCACTGCCCCGCACCTCCACCGTCATCTCCACCTGCACATCATTGCTTCCACTCTCACCTCTTCAACCACCCACTCACCAACCACCTCCCACTCCCCTCGAACACCTTCCACTCACTTCAATGAGTTGCTGGGCCGTCTGCACCTGCGTGGCACTCCCCCGCAACTCCACCGTCATCTCGGGCTGCCCTCCCTTCTCACCCCTATTCTCACCTGCTCACCCACCAACTCACCAGCAACTACTGCCAATCCACCCGTTCCTTCTCACCTCACTTAACCACTTCCCACCTTACCTCAATTAGCTGCTGTGCCGTCTGCACCTGCGTTGCACTGCCCCTCACCTCCACTGTCATGTCCAGTTGCCTGCCCGCCCCCCGGCTCTCACCTGTTCACCCAAATTACCACCAACTACTGCTCACCGGGATCAACTCCCTCTCACGTCAATCAACTCCTTCTCACCTCTATGAGCTGCTGTGCCGTCTGCACCTGCGTGGCACTCCCCCGCACCTCCACTGTCATCTCCGGCTGCCCTCCATTGCCACCCCTTCACTGTCACCCCTTCACCCACCCACCCACCCACCCACCCACACATCAGGAAGTATTGCGCACCTCTATCAACTGCTGTGCCGTCTGCACCTGCGTGGCACTGCCCCGCACCTCCGCTGTCATCTCCGGCTGCCCTCCACTTTCCCTCAGCGAATCAACTCTTCCCCACGCACCTCTATCAACTGCTGTGCCGTCTGCACCTGCGTCGCACTGCCCCGCACCTCCACTGTCATCTCCGGCTGCCCGCCCGCCCCTCGGCTCTCCTGAATGGTCACTGCGGCCCCGCTGGTGCGGCGCAGGAAGACGATGTTGGTGCCGTTGGGGCCGATGATGGCATCCACGTATGACAGAGGGATCTGCATGGTTGCGCTGACCTGGAGTGGGGATGGGATGACAGGGGGGTATGGGTGTGGTTGTCAGAATGGGACGGTGTTGGTGCCATTGGGACCGATGATGGCGTCGAGGTGACTTTTGAGTCGACTCAAAAATCACCTCGTTGGTGCCATTGGGACCGATGATGGCGTCGACGTAAGACAGAGGGATCTGCATGGTGGCGCTGACCTGCCAAGCACAGAGATGGAAAGCAAGTGGGATGGACGGGAGGGAGGATGGAAGGGGAAAAAGGGGGGAGGGAGAGGGGGGAGTGTCAGGATCGGGCAACACCACCGGTGGTGCGGCGCAGGAAGGCAATGTTGGTGCCGTTGGGGCCGATGATAGCGTCGACGTAGGAGAGAGGGATCTGCATGGTGGCACTCACCTGGAGGGATAAAGATGGGCGGAATGCAAGTAGGAGTGGGTGGGATGGCCACGTGAAGCGAGGTTGTTTTTGAGACGTCTCAAAAACAACCTTGCTTCAGATGGGCGGAATGCAAGTAGGAGTGGGTGGGATGGACGGGAATGGGTGTTGGGGTGTCAGGATGTGGCAATGCTGCCGCTGGTGCGGCGCAGGAAGACAATGTTGGTCCCGTTGATGGCATCCACGTATGACAGAGGGATCTGCATTGCGGCGCCCACCTGACGTGGGGGATTGAGTGCCCATACGCTCACCTGCGTGGGGGATTGAGTGCCCATACGCTCACCTGCGTGGGGGATTGAGTGCCCATACGCTCACCTGCGTGGGGGATTGAGTGCCCATACGCTCACCTGCGTGGGGGATTGAGTGCCCATACGCTCACCTGCGTGGGGGATTGAGTGCCCATACGCTCACCTGCGTGACGACAGGCGAGACAGTGTTGGTCATAGCGGCAGCGGCAGCAGCAGCAGGCGTCTCTCTCCCATACTTAGACAGAGCTGCCCTCAACTGCCCGCTTGCATCCATTCCCCCTCCCCCTGGCCCCGCTGCCGCCCCCCCTGCTCCCCCCATCCCCCCTGCGCCCCCATATCCGCCTCCTGCCTGCGTCCCCGGCTGCTGCTGCTGCTGCTGCTGGTACGGCTGTTGCTGGTATGGTGGCGGTGGCTGCTGCTGCTGCGGCGGCGGCGGTTGAGAAATCTGCTGGCTGTAGCCCAAGCCTCCTCCCGAACCTGCTCCCAGGCCTCCCATGGCTGAGCCGTACCTGCTATGGGCGGCGCGGCAGGTAAAAGACCCCCAAAGAAGGGATTAGCAGAAAGGAGGCGATGGGGAAGAGACAAGGAGCATGAGCAGATTCACTGTCGAATGAGAACTTGCACGGCAAGTAAGAAATTGTCAATATTGGACTTACTGTTAGCAAATGCTGTCAAGGTGGTGTTACGGTTACCACCACTCCCCACCCCACCCTACCATCATGACCACCCGTCAACCGCTTCATACCTGTCAGCACCCCCCATGCTTCCCAGGGAAGAGAGGGAGCCATATGGGTCAGGCGCAGCAGAGGGGGGGAGGTCGAAGCGGGAGCGATGGGGGGGAGAGTGCATTCCCCCCGGGGGCGGGTTCCCCCACCCCCCTCCGCGGCTAGAGGGGGAAGAGTAGGGCGCACCCCTGGGGTCCATGGGGGGAGGGAAGGAGCGCTGAAGCGGGGGAAGATGGGAGATGGGTGGGGTGGGGAAAAGGGGGAGAGGATTTTGTGAGCCTGAGGGGGGAGAGTGGGGCGCAGCAGGGATTGGTTGCATTGGTCGCAGAAAAGGAGAGTTGCTGAGGCAACTCATCCCGAAAGAGATGGATGGCTGCGTGCATGGGACGATGGGTGCATGGGACGATGGGTGCATGGGACGATGAGTGCATGGGACGATGGGTGCATGGGACGATGGGTGCATGGGACGATGGGTGCATGGGACGATGGGTGCATGGGACGATGGGTGCATGGGACGATGGGTGCATGGGACGATGGGTGCATGGGACGATGGGTGCATGGGACGATGGGTGCATGGGACGATGGGTGCATGGGACGATGGGTGCATGGGAGGATGGGTGCATGGGACGATGGGTGCATGGGAGGATGGAGGGACATACCCATTGCTCAAAGAGCGGCAGCACGGAATGGTCGCAGCGACAGAGTTATTTATGTGCCTCTAAAGAGAATTGGTGGATGGGTGGATGGATGGAAGGGTGCATGCAGGCACGTACGCATTGCTCAAAGAGCGGCAGCACGGAGTGGTGAGAGAGGAAGAGCGTTTGGTGGGATGTGTAGATGGGTGCATGGGTGGATGGATGGAGGGAAGGTGGCACTTACACATTGCTCAAAGAGCGGCAGCACGGAGTGGTCGCAGAGGAAGCTAGTTCTGCGGTGTTTCATCTTATAAAACGGTCATGGGTGCATGTGGGAACATACGCATTGCTCAAAGAGCGGCAGCACGGAGTGGTCACAGAGGAAGCGCCTGAGATGCAGAGTGACGCCCTTCACTGCCTCGTGCACACACGCATACTCCCCCGTCACCTCCACCACCCTGTCGTCCTCCAGTGCGCATGGCGGCACGTCCTCTGTTCAGAAAGAGCGAGGAGAACCACGAGGAAAGGGAATGGGACATGATTTGACCGAATGGCGTCATGCATGCTCGCATACTTCCCCTGTTTCGTCCACTCCACTCCACCACCTGATCGTCTTCCAGAAGGAAAACAAGGGGCCGAACGACAATGTTCAACCAAACAAAACCCGTGGGTTTTAAATTTCCCCACACACGCACATACCGAGAGAGAGAATCCTGATGTGCGCCCCTGTGCTGTCCTGCAGTGCTTTAATCGTCTGCCCCTGGCGCCCGATCAAACTCCCAGCCTGTGTGGCTGGCACCAGCAGGCGAATGGCCACCTGCCCACGGAACCCCTCCCCCGGCTGAGACGCCTCGATCTCGTCCTCCAACACGCACCTATGTTACCAGACAAGGAACCATGTTACCAGACAAGGAACCATGTTACCAGACAAGGAACCATGTTACCAGACAAGGAACCATGTTACCAGACAAGGAACCATGTTACCAGACAAGGAACCATGTTACCAGACAAGGAACCATGTTACCAGACAAGGAACCATGTTACCAGACAAGTACCTACAATACCAGACCTACCAGAAACGCAAACTTCAGCCAGCATACCGAGAGAGAGAATCCTGATGTGCGCCCCTGTGCTGTCCTGCAGCGCCTTGATCGTCTGCCCCTGGCGCCCAATCAAACTCCCTGCTTGGGTAGCCGGCACCAGTAACCGCGTGGCCACCTGCCCACGGAACCCCTCCCCCGGCTGAGACGCCTCGATCTCGTCCTCTGATACGCCCTCCACGATCCGACGGTGCACACGCATCATCGCCACCACGGCTGGGGGAAGCTCTGAGTCTGGGTCCTCTCTGCCTGACACCAGCACCTGAGGAGTAGTAGGGATGGGGGGGAAGAATGACGGAGATTGGGGAGAGGCTGGTGAATGTTGGACATTGGGTAAGGGGAAAGGAGCGGCGGTTCCTCCCTCCTCCCGCCCTGAAACCAGCACCTGGGGAGGTAGGTACAGAGCGATGTGAGTGAGGCACGGGGGAATGAGGTGGAGTGACGTGACGGCGATGAGAGAGAGAGGGGAGAGGGTCGACTCGTCCAAGCTGCTGCCGCCGTTATGCTCAACGCAATGCCCAAGTCCGTCCAATGCCCCTGATGCAATGCCTAGCACGAGCAAACACTGCGCCCGTCAAGCCATGAAGCCATACAGCATTCCAGCCCCTAGACCAGACTCCTACAACCGACCGGCTTACCACGCGGTCGTCATGGCCCGGAGCGCCCTCCACGATCTTAACGTGCCATGCCCTTCAAGGCCCAACCCAAGCCCAGACTCCTACAACCAGCTTACCCCAAGCACGGACGGGCTATAAGAATCTTACCACGCGGTCGTCATGGCCCGGAGCGCCCTCCACGATCTTAACGCGCGCCTTGGTCTCGTCACAGATCTTCTTCACATACTCGCCGCGCCGCCCTATGATGCTCCCCACCTTCCCCATCGGCACCACGAAGCGGAACACGTTATCCCCTGGCCATCCCGGCCAACGCTTCTGCTCCCCGCTCCCCCCGCCCCTCTCTCCGCCTGGACCACCTCCGCGCTCCCCGCGCTCCCCCCGCTCCCCACCCCGCGCGGAGTCGCCCGGTTCCCCGCCGTACATCTCCCCCGCGGAGCGCTTATGCCTGTGTTCTCCGTGCTCCCCGCGCGTATCCCCGCGCATGTCTCCCCCGTCCCCGCCGATGCCAAGCGCGCCGAGCCCCGTAGAACGCGGCCCAGAATCCGGCGGGTACCCTCCGCCGGAGGGGTAACCCTCATTGGACGGTGGGGGATAGGGGGGAAGCGCGGGGGTTGGTCCGCCATGGGGGGGAGGCCCGCTGGGGGGGCCTCCGCCAGCCGGTGCGCCAGTTGCGCCGATGGTAGGTTGGCCCATAGAGAAACTAATGTTGGGAAGAACCATCTTAATTCCCGCGTCGTCGGGAGCAGCGTCAGCGCCGGAAGCGGCGGATCCGTCGGGTGCTGTACCGTTAGTGGGGGGAAGCGGGGGACCCTGACCTTGAGCTTGATTGTCCATGGCGTCGGTAATGTGTGCGAGGAAGAGATTATAGAATGGGAGCGCAGCGCCTTAGCATATAAAGGAAACGTTCTACTACTGACCGTTATGTGGCTCAGTGCGGAAAATGTCAGTTTCGGGGAGAAATAAGTTCCTCACCACAAGACAGCCCTTAGAACCGTTACTGGAGCTTTATAGATTGGCTGATTCGTACAGATCATACAATTTTCAAATTTTGCAATGGTGTTTGGAATTTCAAATTTAATGCGAAACAATTTAACATGTGTGATAAATAGGCTGGAGAAATCAGCATGACCCAAAACCAATTTGTGTCAGGAAATCCAACAGAGGGTTTGAAACTCAATGATGTAAAACATTATTTACATTTATATACAACATTATTTACAAGTATAGGCATACACCATTACATGTATTCACATATGGTATCATTGTTCCCAAACATAGCCTACCATGTGTCACCGACCCCTCACAATCACACCAGCACGAAGCAACTTCTCCCGCGCCCTTCCCGAAACCTTCCCCACTTCCACCTCCATGTACCGCAATTTAGGGAAGCTTCCAAGGACCCCTCCAATCCCTGCCGCTGTAATCTTTTCCCACATGATTGCCTTCAAATTCTTCAGCGTTCCAAGTCTGCTTCCCGCCACCACTACATTTGAAAAGGTGTCATTTTGTTCCACCGTTAGTTCCTCCAACCTGACACAAACAGCAAGTAGTTGGAGTCACTCCTCTTCCTCCAACCCCGAGCAGCACAGCAGGACAAGCCGCTTCAGCTGTCCAAAAACAGCAACTCGAGCAATGGACTGAAAAGACGTTGGCTGGGTGCTTGAGCTTGGGGCAGAAGAGGGGGAGAGGAAGCAGGAGGAGGAAGATGAGTGGCAAGGAGGAGGTGGGGAGGAGAGATACATGCGAGGAGACGTAGAGGGAAGGGTTGGAGGCAGCCATGAGGTGTGGGGAGTGGTAGAGAAAGAAAGCCCTTCAAGGGTTAAGGAATCCAGGCGAGGGCAGAATACTTGCACAGGGACTGCTGACTGACACCATTCATTATGTTCGCCTGATGCCTTTCGGCTGCTTAGTTGTACATCATTTGGTGCCGCCTCTCTCGGTGCCACCTCCCCAGGTGCCATCTCCCCTGGTGCAACCTCCCCAGGCGCCACCTCCCCTGGTGCAACCTCCCCTGGTGCCAACGCCTCTGGCCCTTTGTCTTCGTGTGTGCTTTCCACCCGTTGTGGTGCCAAGATTTCCCTTCTCACTCCATGCCCTGCTGTTCTTCCTTCTCCTGTTGCGGCTGCCACATGCGCTGCTGCTGCTTCATCCCCTCCAGCTGCTGCTGCTGCTGCTGCTGGAGCTGCTGATACTGCTGCTTCTGCTGCAGTTGCTGCTGCTGCTACTACTTCTGCAACTGCTGCTGCTGCTGCTGCTTCTGATGCTGCGGCTGCTGCTGCTGCTGCTGCTGCTGCTAAGGTTGCTACTAACCGAGCTCTTCCTCCTCTTCGTGCCACTACTGTTGCTCCAGCAACTCTTGTTATCGTCGCTGCTGCTCCAACTCCTCCTGCTGCTACCGCACCCGTCATTAGTCGCAAGAGGGTGGCTCTCAGAGTAGTGCCGGGTTGGTGCAAGGAACGAGAGATATCATGCACGGCTAAACCTTGTTCCCGCAGCTCGCCCGCCAGTGCCCGCAGCATGCGCACTACATCTTCACGTGCCTCCGCCGCACCGGACCGCACTCGACCCAGCACACTCTCAGGCGAGAAATCATTAAACAGAATGACATCCATGCCCCTAATACTATCCCCGTCCTCCTCCCCATCCATGTCCTCTTCTCCAGAACTTAGCTCTGTAGAAAAGAACCCTGTGGCCTGCCCAGCAGTGGTTGTTCTTCTGGATTCACTGGCAGCAGCTGTCTTGGACCCAGCAGAAGCAGCAGCAGAAGCAGCAGAAGAAGCAGCAGCAGCAGCAGCAGGATCAGCAGAAGCAGCAACGAACGCCCTCATCAGCTTCTCCTCCCACTCAACAGCCGCATTGGACTCACGAACCGCCCTGCGAAATGACCGGCACGCCAAAATCCCGAACCTGATCTTCCCGAGGATGACAGCGATGTGAGACTCGAAGCTCTCTCCCTCTACACGCGCCGCCGCCGAGAGGGCTGCAGGACAGGCGGCCTTTGTAGCTTCGTTGGCTGCTTTGAAAAGGAAGATTAAGCCGTTCGCTGCCGCAAGCTTGTCTGCCTCAGCCGCTGCTGCTTCTGTGCGAAAATCTACGTATCTCCAGCAATAGTTGTTGCTCCCGCTACCCGTTCCTGCTGTCATTGCTACCCGTGCTATTCCTGCAGCAGCTGCTGCTGCGGCTGCAAAAACACCTGTATTTCCCTCCTCACATCCTTCTTCTCCACCCCCTCCTCCAGCCTCCCCTCTTGCCCGCCTTCCCGCACACCCCACTTGCTCCACCCGCACCAGCATACTCACAAGGCCGTCCAGAGACACTCCCCTCGGCAATCGCATTTTAAGACAATCGACAGCCCCGACCACACTCAGTGAGCGCAGGGCACTGCAGTCTGCAAGCCCGGGCGGAGAGATGGGAGGCCGGCGAGGCGGAGGGAGTGGAGCTGGGAGGAGCAGCGAGCGAGCAGGGAGCGGAATCCCTGTGCGGCGAACAGACGGTAATTCGTTCCGTGCAGGGAGAGGGAGGAGAGAGCTGGGTTGGCTTGGAGGATGGGGATGAGAGAGTGGGAGGAGACGAACGCGCAGGAGTGGATTGTTATGTGAGTGAGTCTGTAGAGGGAACGTGAGAGGGCGCGGAGCTCATAACGGTCGATAGAGCAGGAGTGGAGGGAGAGGGAGGAGAGGGAGGGAAAGAAGGTTAGGGGTGCGAAGGAGCATGACAACTGGGCGGAGTAAATGGTGAGGGACGTGAGAGACGTGCGGAGAGAGGATGGGGGGGAGGAAGCAACGGAGGAGGAGGAAGCACAGGAAGAGGGGGAGAAGGCTAGGGAGGAGAGGGAGGAGGATTCAGGGCCCCAGAGGGTGAGCGAGGTGAGGGAGGAGCAGCGGGGAATGGAGAGGTAGTCTGAGGGAACGTAGAGGAGAGAGAGGGACTGCAGTGAGGGGAGTAGGTGCACGGGGGGAAGAGGCGGCTGCTGTGTGTGAGGGGAACATGAGCGCGCAGAAGGGGAGTTTAGCTCCAATGAAGCCAAGAGCCTGCATGCAGAGGGAAGGGGCGAGAGGGGAGGGGAGGGGAGGGGAGGGGAGGGGAGGGGAGGGGAGGCAGGAGAGAGAAGGAGATTGCAGCGCGAGGAGGTAGTGCACGGGGGGAGAGGGAGCTGAGATACTTTGGGTAACGGACGAACGCACGCAGCGCAAGATTAGCTTTATCAACGTCACGAGCCTGCACGAGGGAGGGGCGAGTGGGGAGGGGAGCGGGGCGAAGAGGAAGGGGTGAGGAGGGAGAAAAGGAGGATGCGAGAGGCATGTGGTCGAGGTCTGCGAGGAGAGGCCGCCGAAACATGCAAGATATAAACGGATGCGGAGGGCGGAGGGGGTGGGTAAGGGGAATGGGGAAAAGGGTGGGGGAGAGAGAGGGAGGTGGGGGAGGGGCTTGGGGGGAGGGGGGGAAGGGGGGAGGGCATTGTAGGGACACCTCGCGGAGTGCGAAGGCTCGTCGAACAGATTTGTTATTAAGGAACGGATGGACGGACGGAGGGGCGGAGGGAGGGACGGAGGGACGGACGGAGGGACGGACGAAGGGACGGACGGAGGGAGGGACGGAGGGAGGGACGGAGGGAGGGACGGAGGGAGGGACGGAGGGACGGAGGGACGGACGGAGGGACGGACGGACGGAGGGACGGACGGAGGGACGGACGGACGGAGGGACGGACGGACGGAGGGACGGACGGAGGGACGGACGGAGGGACGGATGGTGACGATGCATGGATTGGGCAAAAGGTTCCGAGGGAGAGAAGATGAATGGAACCTTCGACTCACGGGCATTGCTTCGCGAGATCTTGCCACGCTGGACTGTTGAGGTCGAAGCTATCCCAAGCCGACACCTCCAGCTTCAGTTTTTCCAGTTTCGGGCAGCCCGCTGCGATCCCCGCAATCAGCTGGTCCCCGAGAACACTGGTGATCTCCACGGTCAGATCCGTCACGTGGGTAAATACCCCTGAAAAATCCTCGAACTTTTTCAACCATTCTCGCGGATTCGCAGCCCTTGACCTGGAGTGGAACTCGAGTCGGAGCGCATGTGGTGTGCGCCGCGAGAGGTGGCGGAGGCAGGCGCAGGAGAGCGCGAGGTTGCGGCGATCGGATGGGTGATCGGCGAGGCCTAGAATGATTTGGAGGAGATCGTCGGGAAGAGATAGGAGCCTGCTGTCGTCGGTGCCTTCTCTGTCTTCCGCCATCTCTAGCTGACCGTATAGAACGAGTCTGGAAGCCTCTAGAAGCCACAGCTGCACAAGAGGCAGGAGATAAAGGAGCCAAAATGAGGAGCAAAAGCAAGAGGAAGCCGATGCAAAGGATGGGTGACGCCTGGCCAGATTTTGCTGAGATCAGACATTTCTTACAAGAAGAAGTTCATACCCAGCAGATCGGGCAGTTCGAGGCTTGCGAGCAGTCCGTCCTTGGCCTGATGTCAGGGCGAAACTCGACGCACCACCACGGGAAAGCGCTTATGAGGCTGGAAGCTGCTATGATGCGGTTCCGGAATAACCGCTACGAAAAAAAGCGTTTGAGGCGCTTCAGAAGAAAAGAGCCGTCACGTACACCTGCAGGTTCGCGCAAACGTGAAAGTGAAGGCTACGACTCCGACGTGAGGTTGGGATCGAACGACGATCGTTCTGTCAGAACGAACTAACCTTCGAGGGAGGACGACGAACGGCAGGATTCTTCTTGTATTGTGTTCGAAGTCGAGATGACTATTAGGAGATGATGTTGTTGCTTGATCCTCCGTGGTTGGGTCTAGGAGGTAGAAACCGTACCCAACCGATCCGGGCCTCCTGAACAAGCGGAATCGAAGCTGCACGACAGCCATGACAGAATGGATGTGGAGTGACACATGACTGACTCCGCGTCGACCATCAGCTCCCGTGCGCTGGAACGGCCCTGCGTGACGCACTCACTCTCTCCCTCCACAAACTCACGGAAAAATGTTAGTGGCTGCATGGGGGAGGGGAGTTCTCGAGGCTGATCGGCTTTGGGCTCTGGGACGAAGTTCTCGAGGTCCAGAGTTGCGAGGGTCGCTTTGACTTCTCGCGAGGGTTGCTTGCCACCATCTCAGGAACGTCATCTTTATGGGATGGTTGCAGGCGAAAGGGGAGTGGTGCTGGAAATGGGGCTGGGTTCCCCAGGAAAAATCCTCTAACGCGTACGCCCGACGGATGTCGTGTTTCATCGAATTTTGTTTTCGAGCCCAAGCACAGAAATCACGAAGTTCTTTGACTAAATATATACCTTTAAATGGTATCTTAAAGCTCGCGGCCCAAATTGCGGGGCGCGCTGGCCAAGCTTACTAAGGTTGACGGGGGTGATGTTTTGAGTGCTGTTTGGGTTGCGAAGGGTGGTTACGAGAAGTGAGATGCAATCTGATTGGCCAGTTTTTTTTTGTCGAATGGGAGAGCAGGGAACAACAATATGTTGATTGCAATTTGGGACTCTCGAAGCAAACCCAGGTTGCTCCCAGGGGTTTGCCGTGTCAACGAAAACCCCAAGGGTCTAGCGCGAAACTGGGCGAAAGGAAACAGCCCAACTCCCAACAAGTCAACTTCTTCTCCCACCACCCAAAGGTCAACCTTACTAAGGTTGAACAATTTGGGCCGCGAGCTTTAAGGCTCTGGGATGATCGTAATACATTAAAGTTTAATAGTAACATTCCACAAACATGTAATTGGGCTTGTGCTTGGAGGGACTCAGCCAGTGGCGTTGACTGGTCACTGCGACTCTTCCTACGCTGACGACGTGGAGACTCAGCGCTCGACTCAGGGTTACTGCTTCAGTCTGGGAGCTGGTGCTGTGTCGTGGAGGTCTACACGGTCGTCGTCTGTGGCTACTTCCAGTGCAGAGGCAGAGATCTACGCTGGTGCCATGGCGGCACAGGAGCTTCGCTGGTTGACCTTCTTGCTCGCCGACCTTGGTGAGCGGCCTCGCTCTGCACCGACCTTGTACGCTGACAACAAGGCCATGATCCTCCTGTGTCGAGAGCCTCGACTGGAGAGCAGAGTGAAGCATATTGACTTGAGGTACTTCCTTCTGCGAGAGCTGCAGCGACGCGGCCAGGCACGCCTGGACTTTGTGGCCTCAGAGGCCAACACTGCAGACGTCTTCACCAAGGCCTTGGCGCTTGGTGATCACCACAGGTTCTGTGTGCAGTTGGGGCTTGTTGAGGTAGGCCCTCGGTTGCTGTAGTCTTGTTGTTTGCTCTACTTGTTGTGCTTCCTATTTATATCCTAGTGAACTCTTGAACTGGCCTTGTGGCCACTTGCTTGCGCTCGGAATTTGTGTGGTGTCCTTGAGATCCACCCTGAGCTTGCCTTGTTTCTTGCTTTGACTGGTCTTGTGACCGTTTGTTCACCTTGCTTGCTTTGATGCCCCTCACTTAGCCTATGGGGGTGTGTCAAATGTAATTCTATGCTTGTAGGCTACAGTGAGTAGCACAATAGGGAGTACAGTTGTTTGGGTTGCATATTTGTACTTCCACACTTCCTAGTTTCATCCATTCTGTTGCATTCCTATTCTGAGAGTTTTTATTCATCTGTTGTGCAGACAAGTGATTGTTTTTTGCTTGCCTCCAACAGAAAAAAGAATCATCAGAGCCACATTTGCATCAACATTCATCCCAAAGCATCATCTCCCATGTTGGAAACATAAAGCAACAGAAAAGTTCTATGCTGTCAGGTTTTAGTGTAATCCTCTATATAAGCCTCTAGGCTCTACAATAATTATACAATTATTGTAGGGGCTGCATTATTGGTCTCCTTGGGGGTAGAATTATTGGTACTCCTTTATTGGAGCTGCCATTATTGGAGGTACAATTATTGGTGGGGATGGCTAAACTTTGGCAAGGTAGCTGCATGGATAAATACCCTGCTGTGTGCTTTCATTATCAATCCAATCCATTGTTCTGAATCCATTCAGTTGCAAGGTTCTCTAGCTATTCTATTTCACAATCAAGGCTTCCGCTACGCTGGCACTATGCCTTTCTAGCATCCCACACATATACACCAGCCCAAACCCACTTCCACCTTCAAATACAGCAACGTGGTAAGCGAGGGGATATGAGAAAGTAGGGAGGGAAGATGAGGAGACAGGGACTGGCAATGGGAAAGAAAAGGGTGGGAGAGGAGATGTAGCCGAGGTTTCTTTCTAGAAGCTACCTACTTTGACATGTGATTTGGATGGGCACGTGAAGAGCTGTAACCAGTGTCCTGTCGCACACATATGCTCCAGGAGCTTCTGTTTTTTTGCTGTAATCTCAACCCTGCAGCAACACCTCGAAGTGAACAATATTTACATATATTTACAAGACAAAATTCTATGGCGATATTGACAATATCAGGGCTGATTTTATCAGGGTAATTACCCTGATTTCAGGGTGATTTCAGACTTGTCACATTCTGGTCCCTGTAATTTCAGGTTTAACGACTTCTGAACACTGATCTTGTCAGAGTAGTACTTTAGCGAACCCTGGAATTTTGTATACACTCACAGAGTAGTGTTCTTAAGGACCCTGTCCATACAGAGTATGCGTCTTGTTGACCCTGAATGCAACGTTATCGGGACGAACCTTCCAGGAATCTTCGTCCCGATAACTCCCGTGTGCGTAATAATGATTAGGCTTGCACCCATCTCAGGACTCCATGCGCGCGCGCTATCCAGGTTATCGCAGTGTTGGGCTGAGAAAAGCCCTTAGGATCTTTACAGGGATGAACTCTGGGTAGGACTGTAATAGCGGAAGCGTTTAATGAAAGATTGTGAACCACCTTGCGCTAGTATGTGAGGGCAAAGTAAGTTGATTAAAACAAAGAGATACAAGATTATGTATAAGAGTACAAGGAATACGAAGAGATACGGTTGTAACTACTTTTACTGTTGCTTTTGCGGTTCGATACAGTGACGACCCGGGCAACTGCTCTGTAGCGAGTCAGTTGTGTGTCCTTGCTGTCGCGCTGTACTTGTCAGGTCAAAGGTCGCTGACCTTTGACTTTCGCGTAACCTCCAGCAGTTACTTCAACCTCCGAGGGTTGACTCGCTGGTGCCTCGATATGCTTTGCTTCGCTTGTGCCTTGGTGTTTCGACACGACAGAGGCGCTTAAGACCGATTGTTTCCAACATTCCCCTTCGCTTCTGGAGTGTCGCTGACGTGGCTCTGTCCAGTCAGCAGCATGCAGTATTCGAACTTCTGCTTTCCGAGCTTCTTGGTCAGGTAGTCAGCTGCCATCTCGGACGTGGGGCAGTATGACAGCTCGAGCCTCCCTTTCTTGATCTCGTCCTTCACGAAGAAATATCGCAGGGCGATGTGTTTCGTCCTGTTCGCGAAGCCGTTCTTGTTGGCGATGCGAATTGCCGACTGGTTGTCGCAGAACAGGGTGAAGCTGGGTAACTGAGCCAGTTTCGCTTCTTCCAGCAGTTCGCGAAGGTAAAGTCCTTCCTTGGTGGCTGAACAGAGTGCAATATATTCTGCTTCAGCTGACGAGAGAGCAATTAGTTCCTGCTTGCTCGACTGCCAAGAGATAGGTCCGATAGGTTCGAGGCGGTAGATGTAGCCAGTGCGAGAACGCCTGTTGTCGGAATCGCCAGCGTGATCGGCGTCGACGTAGCCGATTAACTTAGGCGGCGTAGTTGCGTTCTTGTAGTAAGTTAGACCAATCGTCGGGGTGCTGATGAGGTAGTGAAGAGCGCGGTCGAGTTCTGCTAGATGTTCTGCTTCGGGCCTCTTGAGGTAGGTGGCGAGTTGGCTTGCAGAGTACGATAGATCTGGGCGGCAGGTGACAGCTGCG